TAGAGCTGTTGCCTTGTAGCAAGAAGGTCCTGCTTGCTTCCCGGTCTGGGATCTTTCTGCATGGAGTTTGCATGTTCTCCCTGTGCATGCGTGGGTTCTCTCCGGGTACTCCAGCTTCCTCCCACAGTCCAAAAACATGACTGTTAGGTTAATTGGTCTGTCCAAATTGTCCTTAGGTGTGTGTGTGTGCATGATTGTTCATCCTGTGTGTCTCTGTGTTGCCCTGCGATGGACTGGCTCTCTGTCCAGGGTGTACCCCGTCTGATTCCCCATTGACCGCTAACAATGGACTTTTTATTTTTTTCTTACATTTTCAGGTTGATTGCATATTAACCTTTTACTTTCCACACTGAGAAAAAATGCAGTAAAAAGGGTAATTTTTAATGTGTTTTGGGGCAATAAGGAGGTAGAATATAATCTAATATAAGGTAACAATTCTAAATTCTTTACATTTTAATATTGATTTTAGCATACTTCATTTTGGGATAAGTTCAGTACATGTTTCACCAACAAACAAGAAACAACAGATCCTTTAAGTGGTTAAAAAGCAAAACTCTCAGTATTAAAACTGCTGCAAGTCAGGATTTGAAACCATTTGACAAACAATTGACCAAAATTCACCCAGAATTTGATCATTTGTGATGGATTTAATCATAGCAGAGGGCTGGCGTTGGCCCTGCATGAGAAAGATGGTCACAGTTCAGACTAATGAAAGACGGCCTGTGTTCCTGCACACCAAGACAGCCTCTGAGTTTAAATTTCCACCCTGTCCTCCAATGGATTAGAAACAGGGAGCAGAGGAAATGCTGTCCGAAGCTAATTGAAGCAGGTCAGCTGAGCAAACTGCTCACCACTGCTCCACTGTCAGATCTCACACTTGGTTCCACCATCTGACAGCAGAAAGCAGCGTTCGCAGGGAGTCAACGGCATGTGGCGTGATGGGTGGCGCAGCCAATGAGGCCTGAGAATGACGCCGCTCAGCAGGAGGACCTCGCCTGTTTGTGTTCAGCAGTGAAGTTGTTTTCTTTAACAGAAATTAAAGCAAGGAGAGATCAAACAACGCAGCTCATAAAACTCACGCTGGAAAAAGTGTAATTTCTGCTGGTTTCTTTGTTGTTTGTGGTTTCAGGCTCACCAGGTGGAAACATGGCTGAAATATCTGAGATAATGATCTCCAGCTAAACGAAGGAGGCAGAAAGTTCTAGATCAGTGGTTTCCAAACATTTTAGCTTCTGACTCCAACATGCTTAAAGAGGTCCTCCACTGAGAAACCATTTTTACTCATTATTTTTGAAAATGATCAGTCAATCAAAGTTTAACATGCAGGTTGGATGTAAAAATTGTTTTCTACACAGCTGTGAAATGATCTAATCTTAATGACTAAATCCAGTGACGGATGTTGTTTGTGTCTGGAGGATGAGATGATAAATGACTTCCTCCATGATGCTGTTGGCCATGTTTTATCAATTTGACCTAGGTTTATGGTTCACAGGAAAGCTTCTCCACTCACTCTTCACAGGTTACAACCTGTCAGTTGTATCATTTATGAGACAAGAAAAAGAGTTTTAATCGTTTTAGTTTGATGAAAATTGTGACCTAGATCTATTTCCTACATTAGCATCTGATAGAAAATACATGATGAACCGTTCATTTCACAAAAGCCTGATACTGTCACTTAAATGGTAAATGGTCTGTAAATGATATGGCACCTTCTAAAGTCCTGGAACCCCCCAAGGTGCTTTACAACACAATCAGTCATTCAGCCATTCACACACACACATTCACCTGCTGGTGGGGATGAACTACGATGCACCAACAGCTGCCCTGGGGCGCACTGACAGTGGTGAGGCTGCCACCAATCCCTCCGACTACCACCAGCAGGCAAGGGGATTTACGTGTCTTGCCCAAGAACAGACTGACAACGGCAGACCAAGTGGGACTCGAACCTGTAACCTGCCGAATATGGGAAGATCACTTAACTCCTGTGCCACCATCACCCCAAACATTCATGGACTCACCCATCTTGACTCGTGACAGGGAAGGCTGTTGTTGGATTAGCATCCAGGAAACAGCAGAGAATGCCTCGACTAGTAGAAGCTAACTGTTAGCATTAGCAAATCTACCTCACAGCAGAACTCCTCCAGGCTTGTGTTATTTGTGGAGATTAAACAACAGAGTCAGTGGTTGAGTTGCTTTGCTAGCCAATCCAAGGCAAGATGTCCAAATATCAGGAAATAAGACTTCAAATCTGTCTGAAGCTACTTTCTCCTCATGCTGAAACAGGTGCACCGGAGTTTTTTCCCCCCAGAGTATGACTTAAAAGGCATTCATTCCTAAAGGGGAACCTAAGTCTCCTCCCTTTCCGGTCGACTCATGGGTCCCCAGAAGAACAAAAAATGAATGCTAGCTATAAGAGCTACTTTGTAATCTGCTTTGCCTTACGCCCTGGATCGCACATATACTGTATTATACTTCTATTCAAAAGTAATGAGGTGTGTTTCTACCTCACTAGTCACGTACTTTAAGATTTATCAGCTTGTAAATGTTCATAATTAGCATGACTGCATCGACACCTCGCAGATATGACGTCACCACAGAATCTCCTTTTCCCTAGCGTAGCTGCTACTTACCACATGGCCAGATTTATGGTGGTTCTTTCTTCTCTGTGTCTGGTTCGATGACGTCCCTTTTGTGAAGCGCATTTAAAGTCCTTGACCTATTTTCACACAAAACCTAAAATAACATTATCCCCTGTTAGAAAATAAGCACTTTCTTGGTATCAAAATGCATCTTTAAAATTCACGGGCATCAAATGTGAAATCCATGTAACACAACAAGTGGAATTAGAAACTAGCGTTTTTTAGCCCCATTGACTTGCATTAATTTTTTCGTTCTTCCGGAGACCCATGGTCTGGACAAAGACGACTTAGGGAGCCTAAGCAGACTACTCAAAATGTATTATAAATATGAGTGACGCTCTTCTTTAAAAAGGGAAATAATTCAGGGCATAAAGAAAACCACTAACGTTCACTTCCATTCATTATGACTATTTAAGTTGTATTATGTATTATAGCTTCAGCAATTGGGTGTCAATTTTTTTTTCATTTGTGGAAGTCATCTCAAGACCACATGTGTAGTTCTTGGTGACCCATAGTGGGGTCCTGACCCCAACATTGGGAACCACAGGGCATCAAGCTGTGCCTTTAATCTGATTGTTTTTGAAAAGTATTTAAAAACTACTTTATCGACTCTACATTCATCCACTGTGCATCAGGAACAATAGTTCCACATAAAGATCACAGCTGGGAACCGACTTTAACTCTAATGACTAAATCCAGTGACAGATGTTGTTTGTGTCTGGAGGATGAGATAATAAACGACTTCCTTCATGATGCTGTTGGCCATGTTTTATCAGTTTGACCTAGGTTTATGGTTCACAGGAAAGCTTCTCCACTCACTCTTCACAGGCTGCAACCTGCCAGTTTTATCATCTATGAGATAAGAAATAGTTAAACTTGTTGAAATTGGATTGTTTCAGAATAGAAAGTTGTTCCTGGAAAAAAAAAAGGGATTTGCTAACTCTCGTGTTGGATTTGGCTGAGTCCCAAGAGGAACTCAAACATGGGCGGGTGGGACTCGCAGAATTCGCAAAGCAGAGAGTTTGAAGAAAGCTCAAGTGTGAATTGAAACATGGAGTGGGTGTGATTAATTCTAATATAAACCCAGAGGCAACGTACAAGCGACAAACATATTAATTTTACGGCAGATTCTTAAACGATTCTCCTCACTCCCTGATTTTAGAACAGGTGTCAGACCATACTCCTAAGCATCTTAGGTACGCCTCCTGTGGCTGATCTTCAACATGCACTCAACCCAGGCAACAGAGTGGACAGGCAGAGAGATAGGAGAAAAGGAGCGGGAAACACCTGGAATAACAGCAGCAATGGGAACAGCAAAATCAGAGCAAGAAAAGGAGATGTGAAAGTATGTATGAACATTTTCACTTATACTATTTCAGATTTTAATGGAAAAACATAAGATGTGTGAACAAAGTTTCTGAAAATGTGAAACTATTCTACAGTTTGTTGTTGCTATTTTATGCAAATATAATCTTCACAAATATAATCTTCGTAATCTCACAATCTCAGACATAATTATGGGGACACCCTGTACCTTGTGGGACCTCGCATGGGGGGTCATGGAGCCCAGCTTGGGAACCACTCTTTTATCTAATCTTACCCATAGATATGTTTTATTTATTTTCTTTTATTTCCGTTAAAGGTGAACTAGGGAGTTTTGGCTTGCTTTTAGCACCCCCTAGGGTCCGTTAGTAGATCCAAAAGCAAAATCCATCTCCTCGCTGTGTGTTTGTCTTTTTAACATCTTAATCCAACAGCTGAAACGTCTCCCAGCCTTCCGTAGTGTCCACAGGAGTGATTCATCACTGAGCTTTGTTTACGATCTAAAACCTGCAGGAAGCAGATTGCAGCGCCAGGTATGTCAACACATTTTTTCCCCAACAGAGCGGGCCGCCAGTCTGAAGTCGCAATTGGAATATTCTGTCCACAGGGGGCGATAAGGGCTGGGTGGCCTTTCATTAACCCAGTAAAGGCTCATTTAAGAATATAGTGGCTCAAAAATGATTTAAAAATTATGAAAAAATTACAAAGTATCCCTTTATTGGACTTAGTGACTAAAATGTGCTGAACTAGTTCAGACCCCCACCCCAGAGTTAGAGTCAACCCTGACTCACGTTCCTCTCGAATGTTTCATCTCTGTTGTGTCTGATTGTCTCACAGACGACTTAAAGAGCTGGAAAAGTTAAATTCATACTGAAACACCAAGTTCTGCTTTTCAGTTCAGGTTTTCCTAACAAGCATGAACCAGAAGTCACTGGATCAGGTTTAAAGGGACATTTTGGTCATTTTCAAAAGTTGTTGTATGAGTTCTATGTTTATTTTTCATTACACATAAAAGTGAAATACGGCAGAGGAGGAGGATTTCTTTTATATCCCTTTATTGAAGTGGAAAACATTCATAAAAGTCATGGGCCATGTCGTTTTTCTGCAATCTCTATTACTCCTAATGTTTTTATTAAATAAAAGCCAGGGATGATCACGTTGGCTCATGCACAGATGTGTTTAGAGGGAAAGAAAAACTGCTTTTGAGGTCACAGAAAAGAAAACAACTGGGGAATTTGAAAAATCTAACCTTTTCACTTGTTTTTAAATAATAACATGAATGCTTGCTGATGGGATCATATTAATTAATGAGCTTTTTCTGCCTTAAAAACATGCATTAGATAAAATATTCAAATTTAACAGTTTATATTTATTTGATAGTCTGATCAAGCTCAAATTGGTTTTGTAATTTGCAAAATGTGAAGTTGTTAAACTGTAAAAACATCTGGAACAACCCATAAATTATCTAGAGGCGTCGACTCGCTCTCCAACAAATGTCCAGAAGTAGGTTTGATATAAATCAAAGTCAGAGTCTCTGGCAACAATCCAACAAACATTAATGCTGAGATTCTAATCTGTTTATTATCTGAGATCGTTCTGACGACACTAAGATGGATTGGATATTCCAGAACACTCTGAAGCTGCTGCATCAGCAGCAGAAAGACACGATAATGACCCAGACAGCAGATACAGCAACAGGAGACATACAAGAATATGAGATGATTCCAAGTTTCTGTTCATTCAGGAGCAATTTTCTTCAGCCCTACTCAGAATGGATACACAGATAAGCTCTTTTGTGTTTTCCAAAGTAATAACAGTCCTCTGGGAAGTTGTTGGCCTGCTCCACCATCTTGTAGTGGCTCACGGCGTGGACCAGGCAGTCGGGGAAGTCCTTGTGCAGAGCCAGAGCCACCGCCATCATGTTGCCCTTCAGCTTTTGCTGCTCCACCAGCTCCTGGATGCGGACCTTGTTGATGGGCTTCGGGTCGACGCAGAACGAGATCACCACTTTGATTTTGTTTCCGGTCAAAAAATCAAACCAGTTGGCCCCCCCGCTGCCATGGTACTTCTTTCCTGCCAGCCAGTTAAAGAAGAAGATGCGCTCCCTGTCATTGAAGACCCTGATGGACCATCTCACCCAGTCGTATTTTTTAACCAGCAACTCCAGGAGTGCTTTGGTGATCTCAGCACTGGTGATGTTGGGGTTCTTCAGAAAATGGGCCTCTATGTCCTCCTTGGCTTGTTTGGTGAAGTTCTCCGTGCAGTCGTCCACGGCTGCTTTCATTTTCATCTCAACATTCTCCATTCGCTGTTGCCACTTTTTCACTATGTCCTCCCCGACCCATCCATCTGTGAGGGCGGTGTAGCCCATTACCGCGATGATGCCGACCACAAAAAGCTTCTTCAGCTGAGCACAGAAATCCTCCACCGCCCTTCGGTCCCTCTCATTAATGTCGACAACCTTTTCCAACAACGGACACCCTGAAAGGTTCTCCCCCATGATGGAGTTGTAGAGAACATCCAAGTTCAGGTCACGGTCCGTGTTCTCGTAATGACTGATGAACTTCTCCTTCTTCTTCTCCTTGAACTTTGGCTTGGCGTTCACAAAGTCCTGGAACTTTTCGTACTGACTCAACATCTGCGCCTCCTGATCAAAGTTCTGCTTGTTCAGTGATGCCTTCTCCAGCGCCTTGGCGATTTGGTCAATCTCACTCTGGATTCCCACAAGTTTCTCATTGACCTTTTCAAACTGCTGAGTCAGGTAGCGAGACTCTTTGCTATCCGGGTCTTGGAGGAGCTCAGCAGAGGCCATGAACACCGCCTCCAGGATGGGGTGAAGCTGGCCCACTGTGGCCGCCAGCACCTCAGAGGCTTGGCCCATGATGTCCACGCCTTTCTCAATTTTCTCCCTGTTCTCCACCAGCCAGTCTGCAACACTATTCATCTTGACGTCTATCCCCAAATCTAATTAGTTCTCCTAATTTGTGCCTGAAAGAAGAAGAAACAATTGCATGAAAAAAGTTTTTTTTTTCCTGTCATCATCTGACTAAAGCCATTTTTATTATTCTTAGAGGACATTTTCCAGACAATCCCTAGAATAAATAAAACAGTTGGACATGTCGGCACACGTTAGCATCCAGTTTCATGCCGCACCCTCACAGCCAGTTAATGACAGGGACTTCTTTTATAGCCTTGGTGGCACCAGCAGATATGACAAAAGCTCATGAAAGTAAACAAATGAGGCACTTATGGAGAATAATCCCAAAACAAACATCAAACATTTATTTGTTTACTCATTAATTATCATGTGAGATGTCCCAGAACACTGCAGCTCTGGCCCTTTGGGTGTGACGAACAATCGCCAAGACCCAAAGCAAACGCACTTTTACAAAGTGCAACATTTGAAATCTGAAACCACGAGTCATTGAGTTTTATAAATGGTTTTGGGTCAAGAAAAGTCTTTATTATAGACGAGGTTATCGTAAAAATGTCTTTTCTTTTATGTCAGAAGAGAAAACAGGCGAGTTCCACCTCAGAAGTTGATGAGAGACAGTCAGAGCTTACAGAGCTTTAACGGAGACCACAAAGGTCTTAGAGAAACCACATCCTCCCCACAGCAGGGCTGCATTTTCACTAAACACCGAATCTAGATGTAAACATTACAATTATTCTATATGATTGAAAATTAATGCCTATAAATGCATAAAAAGTTTCTTTATTTAGTGTATTTTTGTTATTTTTGCATTCTTTTTTAATGCTAAAGCAAAGATAAACATATACATGAGAAAAAAAAGAATCTTACCTTTTTTTTTTATCTGAAAACTGCGACCGGCTGAGGTCCAGCTCTCCTGTAGTCCAGCTGAGCCTGTGAGCACCAGCCTTCTAAGCTGGTCTTTTTACTCCCTCCTCTCTCCCTCAGCCTTTCTCCCTCCCTGGCTCTCGTCACTCCCTCTTTTGAAATTCCTCCTCCATCCTGTTTTAGCATTTCAGCAGTCCGCTCTGGAAAGACGAGGGGCCGGCACTGATACAGATAACATCCAGTAAACACCCCCCAGGGACACTGTGTAGTCTGGGAAAACTTGGAAAAAGGAAGGAATCTCTCTCTCTCTCTCACTCTCTTTGTGTGTGGTGTGTGTGTGTGTGTGTGTGTGATAGACAAGAAGAGTGAGACGGAGTGAAAAGGAGACCAGTCACTGCAAAGCTCACCAAAGTGGCCCATCAGGACAAAAAGCTTCTTGTTGTGGCTTGAACAAGTTGCCATAGCTACCATTCTGGGTCCTCCAACATACATATTATACGCAGCAGAAAAAGGAAAAAAATGCTTCTCTTGTGCATTCAGGGGTTCGATTATGGCGGGAATGTTTGAGATAGCTGTGTAATGTGAACATGAAAGTTTTATCAGATAAGGCTGGTGGTGGTTGGAGGGACCGGTGGTGCCAGTTTACAGCAGCCTCCCTTCTGTCAGTGCACCCCAGGGCAACTCATCACCACCAGTGTGTGAATGTGTCTGTGTGTGGGTGAATGACTGTTGGGTTGTAAAGTGCCTTGGGGGGTTGTAGACTTTAGAAGTTGCTATAGAAATAGGCCCTTTACCATTTACCAAGATGATTAAATAAACAGCATTGCTTATGTAGCTGCCTGTTATAAACATGACTTTAAACCAGTGACTGTAGAAATTAACCCTCTGTTACATCACCTAAAGTGATGTGACAGAGGGTTAATTCTGAGGATGTGGGCAGTCATGACACCCATGTAGCTACAAGCTAACTGAGCTAACCGAAGCTAATAGCCAGAAAAACATGGTTGAGCAACTGTAACATGAAGCACCCATCAACTCAAAGAGCCGTGGTGCTTCTGTGGTCTCCCTCAGAGAGCTCCACTGGAAGCCAGTATGGCTACAGTCTTGCACCGCAACAATCAGACCCGGACAGAGCATGCAGCTGTTGTGGCTCTGCTCCTCCACAGTAGTCAGTGATACACGAAGCTGCTGCTGCAGAAGGGATGGAGACGTTACTGAGTTTTGGTGTCCAGCCGTACCAACATGTCATATTTCAACTCATTTTTGACTAAGCAACCTTATATTTCAATTCAAATGGCCCAACACTTGCAATGTTTAAGGAGGCCTTCCCTACAGCTTGCTAGTGCTAGCTCTGACGCGCATCCTACCTGTCAATCAAATCTAATTATTTATTATTTCAAGAATTTTATCAACTAAAACAGAGTTACAAAATCCCCCCACCCCCCCAGAATTGTCATGACTGCAAACTAGATCTAAACTAGATCTATTATATTTAAATGTTTTTTGTACCAGGCTGTATGTTCATTCCTGCTGTCAAGTTGACATTTTTAACATGGTAGTCAATGGGAATTTGCTGTTTTGGAGCCAGGAACACAAAAGTAAAGTGAGGTGATCTGATTATGACACAATAACACAACACAACAATGATGGAGATAGTGGTGACGTTCAACATTCTACTCAGTCTCTGAACCCAGAAAAGCAAAGAGGTAGCCCCTTTAGCTAATCAGTGACCAACAGTCGCTGACATCTCGGCTTACCTAGGTTTAATATGCTTGGAACCACATCGAAGCAGGCACTGAAAAAGGGGAAACATCTAGATTCTTGTTACTAATGAAAATGACCTGAAACCGCGCTGAGATGAGTCATATCACACTGAGTAAGACCAATGGAAATGCGGCTAAAGACAATAAATTCGGCAATTCTGATTGGCCAATTATTAGTTTTTCTCTCTAGCATCCGTAGCTATTGAGCTAAGTGCAGCTAAACGCTGTACATATCGGCTAAACATACACTATGAAGTGACACATTGATTAATTCTATATATATTCTTATACATAAAAATTCCCATCTCACCCTCCACAGGTGGTCTCGTCCTTCCAAACTCGGGTCCTACCAGAGGCCTGGGAGCTTGTTCTGCAACTTTGGTGTCTGATGTTTTTCCCGGGATCTGCTTTAGCCACTCCTCCAGTTTGGGGGTCACTGCCCAAACTTCACTCTCCAGGCTTTTTTGTGTTCTTCTCAAAGGCCCTGGTACTTCTCTAGTTTCACATGAGGGTATTTATTTGTCAAATTGTGACCAATTTTATTTCCTGTTCTCAGGCAAAAATGTCTCAACAAACCCCAGACATCAATAAGCCACAGTAAGAACAGAATTACCTGCTTCACTTCACCTGGCTATTGTTATATTTAGATCAAATAATGACAACTTGGGTTGTAAGACGCCTTTTGTTGTCACACAAAGGGAGCTGACAGCCAGCAGAAGTCATCAGGCTGTTATAAATTCCATAATAATCCATTGAATAGTTGCTGGGATAAATCTGTCTGGACCAACCTAGCAGCTCGTGTGGTGTAAAGAAAACACACACACACACACACACACACACGCACGCACGCACGCACGCACGCACGCACGCACACACACACACACACACACACACACACACACACACTCCTCCTAATGAGATAGAAATTTCAGAAATGCAGACTGTTTGTGAATAAATTGTCCTTCAGGGATGTTTTCATGATGAAGTCAACAGTCGGGAACGTCTGTTGTTTGGGTTTCAAAGGTGCTGTTTAAGTTCTGAGACACTCCCCTCACAAACCCACTGACACACTCACACCGACACACACACACTGCAGATGTTTCCAGGTCACGGTGAACAGGATGGCTGAGTTACAGAGTGCAGGGACAGATGGAAAATGCTCCCTTACTTTTTTGCTCATATGGAAAATAAAACTGACACTGACTGCTGACTAGTTATCTTGTGCTGTAACCTGATCAGTGCTGGTGGTGGTGTGTGTGTGTGTGTGTGTGTGTGTGTGTGTGTGTGTGTGTGTGTGTGTGTGTGTGTGTGTGTGTGTGTGTGTGTTTGGCATGTTCTTGTTTAAATTACACCATTCATGTTTCTCTTTTCCTTTTCCCCCTGCTGATGGGGTAGGTGAGAATGTTTTGCGTGTGTTTGTTCAATAGAATATCTCCTGGATCGCTGGATGGTTTTAATGAAACTCAGAATTTCTTCATATGATGCACATCTATGAACATCTGATCTCCAAAGCGGATCAACATTTGCAAACACAAAATAGTTGGAAGCTTATCTGTTTAGCTCAAATTTGTCAACAGCACATATGCAACCCAACAGGGTGTGAGAGGGCTTGATTGTACATACAGTTACATTCAAGATTTGACCAATACAACCAGATCTCCATCATTTCTCAGTGAAGATTTCTAAAGCTGATGCTGGGCGACAGGCATTCCTTCAACAAATGTCACTGAGTCTTTTTTGTACACCCCCCCCCCCCCTGAGGATTCACACACAACAGAGCTGATCTTTGGCCAATCTGAGTCACGCCCCTCCCTGGGATTCTTATGCTGAGCAGCGGCTCCAGCGGTTAAAAGGCCGACAGTCATCTGTCACTCAGACGGATCGATGCAAACTCGGGTTAGATGTGGAGAAACAGATATGGGCTCAGAGGCTGGTTTATCGATTGGAAACGAGTTCAGCCCTGAGTCCATCTCTGCCCTTAAACAAGCGAATCAAAGCTTTAGATGCCTGCGAGAATCAGAAAATAAATTATTCAGAACTACTGACTGTTTCTTACTACTGTCTATATAAATGATATTTAAATCCTAATTATTATTTTCTTTATCCAAAGTAATTTGTTTCAGTTCTTGTTGTATCTTTTAAAACTATGTAAAAAAAACACATTTATAACCTTGTAAGACTTCTGCATCCAATCAGATAAATGCAGGGGATGGGCTTGTTTTAAAAAGCAGATCGATGCAGTAATTGCATCTGTAATTTGCTAATGGGTTTGAGAACAGCAGGCTGTTTATACCCCTACTGGATTGGAAAACTCCCCAAAGCTCCCTGAATGCTAAAGCAAGACCCTCAGGAGCATCAAAACACATGATGCTTTTTGTGGACTTCAGCTCTACCTTGACTTTCTTACTAACTGACCTCAAAACGTCATGAAGGTAAATCATCAACCATGATTTTGGACACAGGTGTGCCACAAGGCTGTGTGCTTGGTCCAGCCCACTCCTCAAAAAGCATAATCAAATTTGCAGATGACACCCCCATAATCGGACTAATCTCAGATAATAGTGAGTCCTAATACAAACAGGAGGCCCAATGAGCCGTCAAATGGCGTTCAGACAATAACCTGCTTTAAATACCCACTACAAACCAGGACATAACTGGACTTCTGGAGGAGTGAAAGGATTACAAGAGGGAGAAGATGGAAAGGGTTGTCTTCATCGAGTTTCTGGGTGTTAACATTGGTAAGGATCAAATGTGGGCAGAAAATACTGCTAGCTTGTGAAGAAAGCTCAGCAAAGACTTTTATTCTTGAGAAGACTGACCTGATGTCTCAGATTTCACTGAAATAACTCACCAGTACTCTTCTCTGTTTGTACCCCAGCCGTCTGGGAGAAGATGCTGCTCTTTTGGAACATATAGTTACAGCTTATTTCTCAGAGAAGGAACCCACACACTTTTTCCACAATGTCTGTTGTTGTATTAATAGCATTTGCTCTTCGGTGAACACACACAAGAGTGACAAATACCAGTGGAAACTCCCTGGGTAAATAAAAAGCCTGTGAGGAGACAGAAATTAGCTCAATGTCAGGGCTTCAGGGGGAAGCTTTATCCAGCAGCCATCCTGCAGGTTTCTGACTTAGCCAGGTCACTCACCCAGGGCAGGGACCAAACCAGGGACCAAAACTGCCTAACCCTACATGTGATAAGGTGATGAATCATGAGAAGGTGTTTCATAGATGTCCCAACAGAAAGACACCTCTGAGCAGAGGTGAAGGAGATCTGGGGATCTATGCTCAACGCCCACAACGGAAAACTAAATAACACTGGTGCAGATTTTGGATCAACATGAAAGCAAAAATATATAAGTTATTTTTCAGTCAATCTATGAAAACAAATAAAATGATTAATTTGAATTTTTGATCATGCAAATATTCTGACCTGAAAAACAAAAAAGTTTCTCACAACAGTGTAGCGTTTACCAATTGATGAT